TAATGGAGTGTACTTACCCCATTCGTATCGAAGATTGTACCAAATTTTAGATTAATTGTATATTCGCAAGGAAGAACCTTTCACTTTTTGCATCTTTAAATTAGTATTTTGTCGATTACTTATTTTTGGGTTGGATGGTTCACTTTTAGGATTTTCATCTACAATTTTAGCAACAGCAGGTTTGACTTTGGTCACCATTAACGATGATGACATGCTGTCATTGATACACGCAGTAGGTTATAAGAATTGGATTTGTTGTCGAAATTAACAAAGTATCATCGAATTGAAGGGAGTCTTTGGAGCCATTTTTTTAATGGACAATTTCGAAAGGAATCACTTGGACACTCTTTCTCTTACATGAAAGTCTTAAGTCACTCGGCTCTTCCAAAACAAGAGTCACCCTCTATAAATGTCTTAAGAAAGAGGCTTAAGTCGTGACTCATCACCAATTACTTGCAAAGGGACTCCCCCAAACCCTCATCCAGACTGCTTGATTTGGGGCCCCCAAGCTGGTAATAAAGAAAATATTGAAATTATATATTATTTACTACCAAGAGAAGATTTTTACAGCTCTTTTCTCAAACCGAAGCGACGGAGGATAAAGTCTCTCATTTTTATTTTTATTTTTATTTTTCAATATTGTCTCTCATTTTTTAAGAGTGCGTTTGGTAACGTTTTCGTTTTAATATTTTTTTTATAAAAAAAAAAAAAACAAAACTAAGTTTTATTTTTTTTGATAAAAATTATAAATATAAAACATGTTTGGTAGTCATTTATATTTAAAAAAATTGAGAAAACAAAAATAAAATTCTGTTTGGTTTTATACCAAAAATTCACCACCCAAACCCCACCACCCAACCCCACTATCGAAACCCACCCCCAACCCACCCCAATCACCACCGAAACCCCACCACTGAAACGCATCACCACAACAACCGAAATCCACCATCACAACCATCGAAACCCAACCTCAATCCAACAAATGAAACCCACCCCCACCATCACCGAAACCATAACCACCGAAACCCAACCCCACAACCACTAAAACCCACCCCCAATCCAACCCCCACCATCGATACCCACAACCACCCCCACCACCACAACCACCGCAACCCACCCCTAAAACTCCCCAGCAAAACCCACCACCACCCAACCACAGAAACCCACCATTAGAGATGGGCGAGAGAGAGAGAGATAGAGTGCGTCGAGAAAAACCAGAGACTTGAAAAAATGGAGTGAAATGAAGATGGAGTGACCTTAAAGATGGAGTAATGGCTTCGCAGCGATGGCGATGGCTTCGTCTTCGTCGTTGGCATCGCAAGAGAAAGAGAGAGAAGAGACGACAGATAGACAGACAGACAGACAGAGAAGGGTGAAACCTGAAAGAGAGATGACATTTTATACTCCAGCAAAAAAATCCATTTTTTCTTGCTAAGGAGAATCAAAGCCAAGACCTCATTAAAAACCGCGTGTGTATTTTTTTTTGGGATGTTTTCAAAAATATCATTTTGGATGTTTCCATATGTTAGTCTTATTTTTAAAACGGAGATGTTAAAAAAAACAAAAACATTCACCAAATATATTTTTGTTTTTTTTTTCCATAATATGAAAACAAAAACGAAAAAAAGCAAAAATAGGTGGTTACCAAACGCCACCTAAGTGTTTTTGCTTAAGGCCATGTGTTTGAAAACCTAGCCCAACCCTACGGGTTAACCCGATGAACCAGAGCTTGAATTAGGCCAGTTTGACTATTAGATCGTTGAAGTAAAAAAAAAGCAGATAAAACCCTCTAAACCTAGAGTAAAATATTGAATGCAACAGTGATACCATGTCACCATTGATGATATGGTATCACCTACCAATAATAAAACCCCAAATGGAACAAGTGAACCCCACTTGAGCTTACGTGACAAGAAGGTGGGAAATTATTTGTTTATATAGCAGGTTAGTTATTAATTTTTATGGGTTCCATGTGCTTATTTGTTTTAGTACTATTAGTTGGTGATACCACATCACCTTGTCACATGGTATCACCGTTGTAATGAATATTTTCTCCTAAACCAGATGGTTTTGGAACGAACCCCTTCTGAACTATCCAGATCAATTTGAACGCTAAAAGCAGGTTTTAAAGCATTTTTGCCCACATTGATCGATTTTGCCCTTCGCTCATCTCAGTGCCTCCTTCAGCACCTCACGATTACTCACGACTGAACCACAGTTAGTCACCCCATCTCTCTCTCTCTCTCTCTCTCTCTCTCTCTCTCTCTCTCTACCGGTAGTTAGTCAGTCAGTCAATCGAAGGCTCTGATCTTTGATCTTCCTTCAAAATCGAGACTTGAGAGAAGCATCAAATCTTCAAATCTTCCTTCTCTCTATGTCTCTCGTTCTGTAGATTCTCTACACTATACAATTCATACTCTCTACTATTATGTTAATTGTAGTATTTAGTTTTTGTTTTTGGTCCATTTTAGATTTAGTAGATTTTTTGTTGTATAAATTTTGGCGTATTTCAATTTTCAACATCTATCAAAGAAGATTACCAATTTTCAACATTTATTAGATTTAATTGTATTTGTATAATTTGTACGAAACAGAGAAGCATAATTTCATTAGAAATTTGGTCTCAGGTCTCTCAGTTCCTCTCTTTGACCAATGACCGAAGGATTGAACCAATGATTTATTGACCAGATACTTTTTTAGATTGATGTCCAGATGAGGTTTTAAAACTATGTCAAGGCCCCAATTTCTATTGATTCAGCTATAGTAATGTGACGACATTTTTGGAAGTTCATCAAAAGCAATGACTTTGTTCACTTGACGTTCCAGTCGGCCATGGTCGTCATAGGTGTGACTTGAGATAACATCACTATTTTAAAACTTCTATTCATTTAATTTTTGAATGAGATCCGTCATATTTTAGATAGTGTTTTAAAAGATATCTAATACATAAAATTCATTTGAATTTCTGTTCAATGTTGCATTGTGTAATTGCTATGTTTTGAGAAAACCAAATCATATAATTAGATGTCCTATTTTGTTAAATGATTTTTTTTGTCAACTAGGAAACATAGTTACTCTATTAAATATTTCGATAGGGATAACAATTTGTACTATTTGTTAATTTAGAATGATGAAACATTATGGTATTAAAGATTATTCGTATAGCTACACTATATACTGATAACCTCTTGTTGATAATTCATAGTGATACAACATATAGTGACTTTTTACCTTGAGCTTCTAATATGGCCAAGTAGGTATGATAGTAACAGCCTAGTAACACACTATGAAACAGTAGTGATACATTATATATTGACCTTTATATTCAATTGATAATGCGTAGTGGGCTTTATACACATTAACAACATAAAGTGGAAATGTTATGATACTGCAATTTCAAGTAACACTTTGTTGTAACTCTTTTAAAACCTAAAATAATGTCACTGTTTAAGTTATAATGTCATTCTTTTAGAACTCTTTAAGTTATAACTCTGTTGCTTGGGTAATCATTGTATTTGTTGAAAAATTCATAAAAGATTCATGAAACTTAGTCCACAGAGATACAATCTATATGGACAACTAATTTAATGAATTGCATTTCTCATATATAACAATTAGATATACAACATAGTGTGACTATTACATTATCATAGAATAGAGATTAAAAATCATACTGATATAACATATAGTGACAAGATACATTAATATTCAAATTTATTCTCAAATCACTAAATTTATTTTTGACACAGGACATAGGACATAGCAAAAACACGATCGACAACATCAAAAAAAATTCAGGGGAAACGAAGGGGAATATTGTTAAGGAAAATGGTGGGGTCAACATCTGGTAGAACTGGTAAGAAAGCAATAAAAAATGCTGAAACAAGTGTAAAGAAAAAGTCACTAGACCTAGAGTACAAATCAAACATGCTTGCAATCATAAGAGCAATACATGAAATTATGTTGCAGGAAGAACACAAAATGTCGATGCAAAAAACACCTTTTTGATTGATCTCTGAATGTATCATATAGAACAATTTTGTGAAGTCATGGTGCAGGAAAAGTGACAACAGCATACTGCCTATAATTTTGTGTTTCGACCCCGAAACATCAAAAATCAACATTGGTGGAGAGAGTATCAAATTGAGGAAAACTGATGTCACTCTAATATTTGGAATTGAAGATGGAGGTGAGACAATAAATGCAGCAAACCATGGAAAGGAGTCGACGACATTCGTTCAACGGAGGTTCAATAGTGATGATAGGTTGTCTGCACCATTGATAAAAAATAGGCTGAAACAAACAGTAGATGAGAACACATAGGAAGACTACGATGACATAGCAAGACTATTATATCTATACCTACTGGTAACTTTGTTCTTCACAAACATGGGGCACACACTAGGATGGGGTTATATCCCATATGTGGAGAATTTGGACGAGATGAATAATTTTGACTGGTTAAAGGCTATACATGGTGCACTTATGTCATCACTGAGAACAAAAAACTCAACAGTTACTGGATGTGTCTATCTTATACTTGTAAGTTGATTGTATAAAACTCGTTAGTTTAGCTTACAAATGGAAACATGTAAAATTATGTATTGACCCTTTTTTTATGTTTTTTGGAGTTTTGGCTTTGCGAGCACACAACACTAATAAGTCCTGAAAATCCAAACGCATTTCCAAGATTCCTAAAATGTAAATTACTGAGTCTACAAAGGGCTATCAAACAAGGGAAGCTATAGAAAATTCAGCATGTCTATTTTGTAATGAGTATAATTAAGTATTATGAAGTGAATATGCTTAAATTGGCATGGTGTATTTTTGACACTGCTATAACTTGTTCTCTTTATTCATAATGACAACATATCGTGAAACTTTTATAATGTTACTCTATTAATTTGTGACTTTCATTTACATGTACATGATTTGAAAAAAGATTGATAAAAACCAATGAAGAGAGGAATTTAATCAAAACACTTCGGCACAAAAAACCAATGATTGGAACTCACGAAGAAGTAGGAGCAACAAACTTTGAGAAGTCCATTGAAGAAGGAACAGCGGGCGAAAAACAAGATATAGAACAAAGAGTTGATAACAGATTGCATTATAGTGATGATGAAGCCTTGTTTGATGTTGATGACGATATTATGGATATAATTAGAGATAATGAGAATCAAATCGAGAACTTTGAAACCTTACTTGATGTTGTGAGCTTTGAGTACACACAAAGAGATGGTGAAAAAGAGTTTGAAAAGGCAGAAGCATGTGGTGATAAAGATCTGACTTTTGTATAGGTAGAGATACAGAAAAATTCAATCAACAAACAAAGAATTGGGGTGTTAACAACAGAAAATGAAGAGTTGAAAAAGGTGATCATATGCATGGAAAGGAATGAAAAAAATAAAAAGCAAGTGGATGAACATTCAGATGATGTCGTCATGGAAAAACAAGTCACTGAGTTCGCGATAAAATTGATTGAGAAAGATACACAAATTTCTAAGTTAGAGAATATGGTGAAAGTATGAAGAAAGAAAATGAAGATGTAAAGGCTGAAATGGCACAACTTGAAATAAAGAATGAAAAACTGATCGACCAGATTAGCTAGCTATATGTGCATGACATTACTTAACTGTTTCATAATTTGTCAATTCTAGTTCAAATTCCTAGCATAACACCATAAAGTGTTGAAGAAATAGAACAAGTACAAAACACAACATCAAAAGCAGGGCAATCTTCCATGGTTAGAAATATCAAATTGAAAGAGAGGAAGAGGAAAAGAGCTGTTGATTATGAATATAGTGGGAAGAAAAGAGGAAAGAAACAAGATATCACATCGCAAGAATTGGAGAAAGGTAAAGGGATTGCCAAAGTAAGAAACCAAATTGACTGTGGAATTATTAACATTGATGACTCAAATGGGGAGACCACTACATTGAAAGAACCAAGCAAGAGAGAAATTAATAAGGGGTGGAAAGCTTGCAAAGCATTGTCTCCCCAAGAATACAATAAATTGAAGCGAATCCACGACTTCTTCCATGACTCTTACGTATCAAATATATATATGTATATTGTCAAAATATCTTATTGTGGTATATAAATGTAATATATGTTTCATATTAAATTGAAACGTGTGATGTGACTAATCCTAGTCAGTCATTGTCAATTATTTTTGTTAATGTGTTTTGTTGTGGTTATCCATTTGTAGGATTATAATTTGGCATGGAAGATGTATTAGAAGTTATGTAGATGTTAAAGATGCAATTAAGTTGATGGGTGGTTGTGAATTGTACAACACTATATGTTTTCTATTGTATTGAATATTAGATTACACTAGCCAAATATTTTATTAAAAATGAGTAATGCAACTTTGATATGATTATCATTTGAGGTTATTCGGATAGTATTTACAGAAAAATCATATCTTGTATTAGGTTGTAGATTCTTGGGTTGATATATTGTGGGAGATGGATGAAAACAACGAAACATCCACATTTAAGTGACGGTGTTTTTTCTTCAACAGTCTCTATTGGGTAAGTTAATTGATACTTAATTATGAATAAGTATTGTTAGTTTTTTGTGTATAGAAAAATGTATTAATTTTCTTGTATTTCATTTTATAGTCTTTGGTAACTAAAGGTAATCTAGCAAATGCACATAAATTGGAAATAGATGACCATCTATTGGTTGGACAAGAATTGTAATACCTACTATTTCCAATGAACTCAAATGGTCAAAAATATTCTCATGTTTCTTCCCACTGGACATTGCTTGTGTTAGACACTAAAAATGGAATTTTGACACACTATAACTCCTTCAGGCCAAGGGAGAAAGGTGGCCTCGATGCTTGGCTTAAAGATGCAAAAATATTGGTAAACTGCAAAACCATTATCATATATTATCAATGTTTTCAAAAATAGTTTCAATAACTAACAAGTTCATTCATGTATCAAAACAATTATGTGGAGAAAAATATTTTGGAGATTAAGACAGCAATGGGCATCCTCTTGGACACACAAGACAAACTGCTACCCATTGTATCATGTGACAATTGTCCACAACAAAAATCTAACTCGTACATAATTTTGAAATTTTTTTTTTAAATCAATGTATATAATGATATTAACTGCACATACAACGCAATGTCGACAGTGTTATGTTCGTTTGACGCATAATGAAGAAGCTTGCAATAGGAGAAGCAGTAGAAGAAAAATGGACTGCTACACAGTTGAGAGAGTTCCGGGCATAAATGGTGACATGTTCCTGAACCATAAAAGTTCTTAGCCTGAAGAAGGGTACAATGAATGCAACGATGATGGGAATAGATTTGCCGACAAATGAATGAGCGTGTCTTTTGTAATTGTGCACATTTTTAATTACGTTCATGATATGGGACTTTTGGCTCCTAACTAGTTCTTTTTGGTGTTAATTTTGTGGGTGATTGATGTCTTGTAGTTATTTTATGAGTGGATTAGCTTAACACGAGGACATTTATTTTTTTGACATATAATGTTATATCTAATTGGCTACAGAATATGATTTGTTACATTAAGTACATGGAATAGAGTGACATTGTAGTGTGATATACTAATGTCATTATATATTTTGTAATTCAGTGACATGTTAATGTGACTTTTTTAATTTCTCAAAACAACTGACAACATAATGAAGTCACAGTTTGAATAACTAGACAATGTTACAAAATTACGAAGAATGACTCTATTCCTAGTTTGTGAAGGAGTGACATAGTAACATGACATTTTATTTTTTTAATTGTTTGGCACACAAAATATTACTGTGACATACAAGTGTTTAATTTCGTAAAAGAGTGACATCATTAAACGTTTTGCTCATAATTAACATTTTTTTGTCTTAAATTTGTGGGTGGTGGTTGTACTACAAACATGTTAGGAGTGAATTAGTTTAGTATGAGAACATTTCTCTTATGGCCTATATTGTTTTATATGTTGTGCAACAACATATGATTTGTTACAGAAATCATATGACTTTACAGTGACATCCAAATGTCACTTTTCCTAATTTTTTTTCTCGAGGAACAGAGAGATATATTACTAGGACTTTTTAATATTGTTAAAACAGATTAAACCATAATGAACGAATCAAGGTTTGGGTAACTGTACAATGTTTTAAAAAATGAAGAATGTCAGTATTCCTAATGTGTGATTTAGTGACATGGTAAAGTGACATTTTTATGTTTTGAAGTGTTTGGCACTTAATGTTACATTGACATACAGTTGTGTAGTTTTACTATAGTGGGACATTAGGGATCCGGCTCCTCTACTTTTCCCTAAGAATAACAACCCCTTCTTTTCACCCAAAACGACATTGTTTGCACTCTTTTTTTTTTCTTTTCGTTAAACAACATCATTCCATTTTGTTCTTGAACACTCCCAAGAACAGCAATTTGGCACCATTCTTGGCGCACTCCTACACCAAAAACAAACAACGGCTCCTGCAATTCTTGGTGCACAGCTGTGATTCTTGGTTTTGCAGTTCATGGTTTTGCGATTCTTGTTTTGCAATTCGTCTCCTTCGTCCATTTTGGGTATTCTTATGTCCATTTCAAATATTTTTAAGTGGATATATGTATAAAAATACACACACACACACACACACACATATATATATGAATATACATACACACCACAAATTTATATTTTTATTAGTTAGATTTTTCTTGACCTAAATTTAAATTTTAAAATTTGAATCTTCAATTGTTTTGTTGATTTCTTTGAACATTATTAAATTTTATGATATGATTTAATTGTGATGTTTTGGTTTGCTGTTAATTTATATTGATCGTGGGTTTGAACCTCATCGTCACCTTCTTCATATAACATATTGTTCAAAAAAAATTTGAAAAAAATGCATTGAAACTTGTTTTAGTGTTGATACCCTAGTTAGTCCATTTTTTTTTTTGCAGGCACTGACATCGATGAAGGAGTCCATTGTAGTTAATGAAATTGTGAACACTCCAAGTATTGGTATGCAGTTTGACACGAATGAAGATACTTACGAGTTTTATAACAAATATGGAGGTTCGGTCGAATTTAGTGTGAGAAAAGACTATCACAATAAAAGTAAGAAAAACTAGATCATGATTTATAGAAAGTATGTTTGTTGCAAAGAGGGACAAAGAGATGTGGATAAAAGGGATTGGAAAGTAATAAAGTCACGAGCTAAGACACGAACCAAATGTCTAGCTTACATGTGCATATCCCTCAATCAGGAAATTAAGAAATTTATCATGATCAAATGAGAAGATGACCACAATCATCCATTGCACCTTATGGAATGTGTGCATATGATATCATCCCAAAGAAAGGTTTCTACTATGCAAGACATTCATGTTGACATGGCAGCGGATTGTGGGATATTACTTAAAGAAGATTCATATAAACTTATGAGTACCCAAGCAAGTGGAAGGAAAAATTTGAGATTCACTCGGCAAGACCAAAAAAATTACATCCGTAACAGGAGGCAACAAGAGTTGAAATATGGTGAAGCTTGTAGATTGTTGAATTATTTTCGACTAGAAGCGGTTAAAAATCCATCATTTTACTATGGTATCCAGTTGGATGTTGAGAAGCATATTACAAATATTTTTTTGACTGACCCAAAAATAATTATTGACTATGGTCACTTTGGAGACGTTGTCTCATTTGACACAACATTTTTTGTACGAACAAGGATTATCGGTCTTTTGCATGCTTTGTTGGCTTTAATCACTTTAGGAAGACTGTGATTTTTGGAGCTACATTATTGTATGATGAAACGGCAGCTTCGTTTCAATGGTTATTTGAGACATTTTTGCAAGCAATGTCTAGGAAGAAGCCCATCACCATCTTTACTGATCAAGATCAAGCAATGACTAAGGCAATAACTCAAGTGATGCCGAAGACTTATCACGGGCTATGTACTTGGCACCTTTCCCAAAATGCTTTAAAGCATCTAGGGAATATCTACAAGGATGGTTCTAACTTTGTAACCAAATTGCAAAAATGCATCTACGAATATACGGAAGAACATGAATTATTTGAGACTTGGAATATTTTACTTGATGAGTATAATTTGCGGGATAATACCTGGATGAAAAAAACTTGGACTTTAAGAGAGAAATGGGCTAAGGTTTTTATGAAGAGAACTTTTACAGCTGGTATGAGGAGCACCCAGCTTAGTGAGAATTTGAATGCAAAATTGCGAAAGTACTTAAAGTCAGATCCTGATATTGTTCAATTATTTACTCACTCTGATATAATTGTAAATGATAATAGAT